CACACGTCAGGACGTATTTGCCTTTAACGCTCAATAATAAATGTCATAGTTAAGGAAACAGGCTGACTCATATGTACTTCAACGCCCTAACATGTAACAGTTGCAAACAAGATCCAAATCTCACAGAGTACTAACAACTTCAAATCAACATTTTCTGATACGTTCGTTCTTTAATCTTACATCTGCTTCTAATCTATTAACAGCAAAACAAACAACAAAACTTTTAATTTCGTCAGCCCTAAAATTCAATAAAAAAAAATATTGATTACGTTTTTTTATATATAAAATGAATGAGCTGAGTTGTAAGTAAACATTCTAATGGGGAAAAGGTATGGGATAGTGTTACAATGCATTTCATTGTTTCAGTAACCCACGTCCCCTAAACAAATCACTGGTTAAGGCACCGAAAGAAATTCAGTAGCTTGGCTGGCTAACATCTACCTGGGCTTTTAAGCCATATGACTAGGTAAATGTAGATTTTGAATTAAAATCTGAGATAAACATCTTGCTGGATTTTATTATCAGTGTTTTACTTAGAGAAGTAACTGTTTATCCAACATTAATCTCTTGTTCTTTTTACCAATTTGTAAACATAAATCTACGCTCCTTTTAACCACGGTGTATTACGGAGAAATTCTGCCTAATCCTAACTTTATATCCCCTTCTCTGTTGTGGGGGGTCTGTGTACAGGACATTCGACCACTGGCCTTCAGCCAATATTATTTCCAATGAAAAGAAAATCTACTAATAAATACTTTGAACCATTTAAATCAATCGCCTGTCCATATCTATATGATCCGAGTGATTAAAGAGGGCTTTCCTCCCCAATAAACTTATCTCCGTTCCCGTCCCGTCCCATTGACATCACTCGCTGTATAGGACAGAAGTAAACCCCTTTAAACCAAATATTGCTTTTAATTTTTTGAGCGATTTTCAACATAACTGATGCCTAAGTGATCCAACCCGTGAATGTCGAGTGTTGAAATACCTTGATCAGAAGGCAGTTGACCGTCAAGGATGACCAGGTGATAGTTACCTGTCAGGGTATTTTCCACACTGACCAATCAATTACAACTTTACAGTTGGACCTTACATAAACCACATTTCAAGTTCCCATACACTCAAGTGTTTTATAATATGAATGGAACTTTGATAATGTTAAATTCTTTGTAATCCGCACATCTACCTGAAACCACACTGTAAACAGAATCTGTGTCATCTGAAAATACTTTCATTTACAACAATTACTTGTAAATTTTACAATTCACTAACAAAACTTTCACAAGTGAAATAAACAATTATTGATACCCGTCCACCCGTTAATGAACTGATTACAATTAGAGTGTAAATATTTGATACGCACTTGACAGACAGGCCGTATACAAATGTTAAATATTGACCCAGTAAAAAGCTACTAATCCGCTGAACCTGTGACAGGGTTCAGTTATTGATATTAAACATACGTACATCTGGTAGGTATTATGTGGCTTTAATGTAACATCTACCTCCTACAATAGAGTTGCCAATCAATTTTAAACCAACACCATTTAAAGGACCAGGTAAACTGCTGGCTAGGTTCGGTACCTTTATAACTAGACAGCAGTTTTCCAGGTCCTGAACCTGTCCTAATAAACGCCCCCATACCCCGTCATTGCCCGAGGGAAATGACCTTTCTAGGACTACACATGTTTTTGAATACAGAAGCTGTCTTTAGAGCGCTGACGAGATGGGTTGATTATGGCCCTGACAAGAACAGAAGCTTAGTGTTGAGTTTTGCTTGAGATATTACTGTTGACACTACCTACATATAGATACATATCATTAATTCAAGGCAAACACTTTTTTCCTTTCTTAATCTTCTGTTGTGCTTACTTCATCTAACAAAATTTGAATTGGAACATGTGGTTTTACGAGGAATCTGAGTTGATAAACAAGAAAACTTCAGACCACTCCTTATAAGAGATGTATCAATCTTATCAACAACATTTCCCTTCAGTAGCTTCTCCAATGTAATACTACGCTCGGTAAAAACTACAATTACTATAAATCCCAGGACAACCTTTATTTATACACTGTATCATGTTTAAATACAATGAAATCAACAGGTCTTTGGCTGTTTACGACTTGTTTTCCCCCTATATAAAAACTACAGTTATAATTGAGAAGGAGGCTAACACTGGACAGTGATAGGTGATAGGACGGTTTGTGGGGATGAAGAACCGTTTAAGTCATCTCTAGATCTCCACCACACTGGTCCATTGTATACGACCATTAATTACACCAGTTACATATATTAATGGTTCCTGTGTTACAAGCCTCCCTGTGACCCCAGTAACACTGACAAAACAAACCCATCCTAACCCCTTAAGGGTACAGTAGTCAGAAATTAAGCATTACATCTTCACAGAGGTAACGTACATGTACATGTTCGTTTGCCGTATTTCCTAGAGTTGAGTTGACAAGGATGCATGAATCATAGAGTGTCTATATTAAACATTACCATATATATACTCACTACAATGATTAATATTTAAGTAATTAGCATTATATGAATACATCTACATCAGATATAGCATGGATAATTCTGAATGGAAACATGTTATATATTGTATATAATGACACTGTATGATGGTTAATATATGTATGGAGATTTAAGAGCATCAGCTTTATTAGCATAAAACCATATCTACTGATTCATCGTGAGAGCACAGCATAGTATGTAGTACATCTAGTTGTACATTAGACATGCCAGGTGAAACACCCCCTACCACCTTACAACAGCACCTTAAAATTCTACAAACAAGCTCCTACACAGTTCTAAACTTTTACCCCAAAAATTCACACGGTATTTCACATTTAACCAATGACCAATCTACTTCCATACATTTCGTCAACCAGTACCAAGTGCACTTTGAAATTTACCTCCAGCCTAACAACCTCGTTGACAAGGCTGTACTATTCTACAGTTACTTTCCAGTGACTACAGAACTCCCAGGTTAGTAACATTTACAGTCGCTGTGTTAGATATCATAGCGTAAGTTATATTCTTTGTGTTTATCTTCATCATATTCCTGTATCAGTTCTTAAAACAGCATTCCTTGTATTTTCTTCATCATTCTATTGTTACATGACCTTCATCATTCTATCATTACCTTACCTTCATCATTCTATCATTACCTTACCTTCATCATTCTAACATTACCTTACCTTCATCATTCTATTGTAACATTACCTTCATCATTCTATCGTTACATTACCCTCATTCTATTGTTACCTTACCCTCATCATTCTATTGTTTAATTACCTTCATCATTCTATCATTACCTTACCCTCATCATTCTATCGTTAAATCACCTTCATCATTCTATTGTTAAATGACCTTAATCGTTCTATCCTTACATTACCCTCATCATTCTATCGTTAAATTACCTTCATCATTCTATCATTACCTTACCCTCATCATTCCATAGTAACATTACCCTCATCATTCCATCGTTAATTTACCTTCATCATTCTATTGTTACATTACCTTCATCATTCTATCATTACCTTACCCTCATCATTCAATCGTTAATTTACCTTCATCATTCTATTGTTAAATTACCTTCATCATTCTATCATTATCTTACCCTCATCATTCTATTGTTAAATTACCTTCATCATTCTATCATTACCTTACCCTCATCATTCTATCGTTAAATTACCTTCATCATTCTATCATTACATTACCTTCATCATTCCATTGTTACATGACCTTCATCATTCAATTGTTAAATAACCTTCATCATTCTATGGTTAAATTACCTTCATCATTCTATCATTATCTTACCCTCATCATTATATTGTTAAATTACCTTCATCATTCTATCGCTAAATTACCTTCATCATTCTATCATTACATTACCTTCATCATTCTATTGTTACATGACCTTCATCATTCAATTGTTAAATAACCTTCATCATTCTATGGTTAAATTACCTTCATCATTCTATCGTTAAATTACCTTCATCATTCTATCATTACATTACCTTCATCATTCTATAGTTACATTACCTTCATCATTCTATTGTTAAATAACCTTCATCATTCTATTGTTAAATTACCTTCATCATTCTATAGTTACATTACCTTCATCATTCTATCATTACATTACCTTCATCATTCTATAGTTACATTACCTTCATCATTCTATTGTTACCTTACCCTCATCATTCTATTGTTGAATTACCTTCATCATTCTATTGTTAAATTACCTTCATCATTCTATCGTTAAATTACCTTTATCATTATAATGTTACCTTACCCTCATCATTCTATTGTTAAATTACCCTCATCATTCTATTGTTAAATTACCCCCATCATTCTATTGTTAAATTATCTTCATCATTCTATTGTTAAATTACCTTTATCATTCTATTGTTAAATTACCTTTATCATTCTATTGTTACCTTACCCTCATCATTCTATTGTTACATTACCTTTATCATTCTATTGTTAAATTACCTTTATCATTCTATTGTTACCTTACCCTCATCATTCTATTTTTACATTACCTTCATCATTCTATTGTTACCTTACCCTCATCATTCTATTGTTACATTACCTTCATCATTCTATTGTTAAATTACCTTCATCATTCTATTGTTACATTACCCCCATCATTCTATTGTTACATTACCCCCATCATTTTATTGTTACATTACCCTCATTATTCTATTGTTACCTTACCTTCATCTTTTAAATGTTTTGTTTCCAGTTATACAACATTCCTAGTCTGATCAGATGTCCTGCTACATATGAAATTAATTCTAACTATGACCCAAGACTACATCCAGTCAACCTCTCTATCCACTACACCAATCTACAAATAAACCATCAACCAGACCTACCTTTACCGTACTGTGCACCTTACCACAGAATATAACAACCTTACCATAAGAGTGCACTGGACACTAGGTTTCAAGCATTCTACGTGTGTACAGGTTAAAACGTGGCTTACGAAGTGAACTTGTGGCACCGGCTGTCATCCGCGACAGAGCCGCAACCTGCGCCGGCGTGCGGCGCCGTGGCGTATACGTTGAGTATCCTGAACTCGTGGCTGCGATTGAATAAGGGCCTGGACTCGTGCGCCCATATGGACTCGGAGATGTCCGTCCATACGGACTCGGACTCATACGTCCATTGGCTAGGTCAACGGCACTGCTTGACCTCATGATTCTGTCCTTAGGTGTATTTGACGACCTACTGCTACTGCGTATGGGGGTGTCAAGGTCAGCTGGAACAGTATTTTGTCAGATGAAGCAGCAGACTGGAATACTAGGCGGGGTGGGGGTGTACAGAGAAGGGGCCGGCGTACAGGGAGAGGGCATACAAGGAGGGAGAAAGACGGAGGGGTGAGGAACAACAGGACTGACGGAAGGAGAAACGTGTCGAAATTACAAAACAAATAAAAAAGAAAAGTAAAACTACAAAAAACGAGGAATAGACAAAATAATAAAGACACTAACAGGTAGTGTTAGTACCTTGCTATACTGTGTATATAATATATACAGGTAAATACATTCGGTATATAGTAAACTGTTTCAACAGTAATTTTATTTTAGAAAAGATATAAAATATCATGAATAGTGGAGAATTGTTTGCTATGGCAGTTTGGATTACCTCCCTTTGACAGTTGAAACAGCTTGTAAGTAAAGAGCGGTAGATAAATGAATTGCAAACTCATTGTTATTGTAACGCAAAGCAAACAGAATCCATAAAGAAGAGAATATATAACAAAGCATCAAACTCATCAACCGCCTCAAACGTTAAGCACAGCAGCAGGCGTAGTAGAGTCCTCTACAGGGGGGTCAGTGACTACATGCAGGTCACATGATCGTCATATGACTGACTGGTCATGTGACTCAACCACCACTTTCTCTTACCTTCCACGGTTGGTTCATGTTCCCCTTCAACATCCAAGTCTGGATGTGATACGAGAAATGAAAAGGAAAAAGTGATCGTATAAAAAGGAAAAAAACATGCTTGCTAAAAAACTGGCATTCCAACGAAATCTGACATTCTGTATATATGCTTTCCACACATTTCTGCACACTCATTCAACATAAAGGCTATCTTTTGCAAATCAGCATTTTCACATTCAAAAAGAGAAGTAAAATGAATTGTGCTTCAGTTAAGTTTGGTGCAGTAATTTGGATCCGTCACCCTTGGGCCATTTTGCTGTACGCTTTTGTGTACCGTAGAACACACATCCAACAAAATCCAACCACCTTATATTCCCTCAGCCGAGGAGTTCCATCAGCCGGTGCTAGAAATGTTTCCCCGACACCACAGAAGTAGATATCATAATCTTCATCTTTAGATGAACAAACCCAAGTTAAGGAAAGCAGAGATACAAGTTTAATACTTTGTCTTCCATATGTCAAGTCGTTCCCTTTCCAGTAGTCTCTCATACAAGCAATGCGCCCTGTATATGTATATACATATAGGTTGTATATCAAGGCAGTCCGCCACCGGAACTATCACCTGGATGGTTAATAATCTATCGATAAGTCTTTATATATTCCTTTATTAACCTTTAAACCTGTATATAAATAAATCATGCAGAAATCTGGTCAGTTTGTTAAAATAGTTACGGGGTAGTACATTTCTTTTTTTAATTTATTGCACAAGAGTTTTATTTAAGGTTTATAATTTTGAATATTGTGCTACTTTAAATAGGAATATTTCATTTGTACCTTCCCACACCAACCAGTAACTGTACCCAGTACCGAATAATAGTATAACAATATACAGGTATGTTAATGATAAAAAGCATGCCGTTACGTCACTCGTGAACCAATGATAGAAGTGAACAAGTTTAATACGTGAACCAATGATAGAAGTGAACAAGTTTAATACGGTACAATTCACTCATGACCTGTATACAATATTTCTACACCCAATTTTACACGATAATTCTAAAAAAATTCTAACAAACATCACAAAATTCAAGAACCACAGAAACTTAAAGTGTGACATGTATGTTCTGTCTAATATTTCTCTACTTTATGCACCATTAGTGTCTTTTGTAACAGTCCTTGTCTTCATACAATATTTAACATCTAAAACTGCTTTTAAGTAGTAGGAAAATCAGTATATCACATGTAAGAATCTTGTATAGGGAATTCCTCTTAATTTCATGTCATTTTTCAGAGGAAAATGTGATATTAAGCAAACTGTGACATTAAGCAACATGATATTAAGTGAAATCAACTGTGATCACTGAACACTAATATCTGGTACTGGTGTGTTCTGTGTATGCATTAGTAATGCAAGTTTTAATTATGGTTAATGTTTAAACAGCACTGTTTAATGTCGGCTCGGCAAAGTCAAGTGCTTAAAAAAAATTGACTCCATAAATTTCTGTGAAAGCTGGAGATAATTTTTCACCTCATGCGAATGGTGTACGCTGCAGGCAGGCAGACTTTCTTTTTTTCAGCTAAAAAAAATGGCTCTTTCTTATATGATGCACTGTAAATCTACCTAATGTGCTGGAACCATTAACATCCACAATGTCAACTGACATCTTTAGATGAATACAAAATCATGGACAAATTATTACAGCCACAAATTAAATTGATACAATCTTTCAAAAGATTTATCTTTTATTGTCAAAGAAAAATCTTCTAAAATATGCAGGTGTTTATTGGAAATCCAACATATGGTATTAAGTAGATTTACAGCTAGCTGTCCGGAATGCTGTTAGTTTTAACATGCGGAAATTTTTTAAAGATANATGGGGAAATTTTTTAAAAAAAAAAAAAAAAAAAAAAAAAAAATCAAACAAAGAAAATAAACTAAACACAAAATTTTAACCTCAAATAAAGGAGAACAAAATATAACGCAGGGAAATTACGAACAAATGAAGGGCAGGGTCACGGGGTCAAGAGAGGGACTACATAAAGGGTCAACATAAAAACAGGTTTATACAGCAACAAAAATAGTACACAAATATCTCAGTACGTTAAGCTGAAAATTAACCATAACCAATCGCAATTACTGTGAATTAATACAAACATTATTTTATAAACTAGTATTACAAGCTTGAAATTAAAAGAATGAAGAGAAATTAAAAGACAGAAGATGTGATTTACTTAGAGCAAACAAAGACACCAACAATTAGCAAAATTAAACTTTGTGAAGATCACAGAATGAACGGAAAGAGACGGATTTGTAGATGTTGTAGATGTGCGAGTATTAGGACACCGTGGACTAGCCTGAGAAAGGCCTGCTCGTATTTACCTGCTCCTGTCTCACTGCGGGCCGAACTCACTCTGGAATGCTTTTTCTTTCCTATCCGCCTACAACAGCATACACACAAGTCTTAAGTTGATCCAGTTTTGTTAGTTTATTACAAAGTCTGATCTACTTGCTCAAGTTTGCATGTTATATCTGTGGCTAACGTCACTCTATTGAATATAAATCATGAGCGATTATCGCTTTTCTCCTCGTATCTATTTGCATTAGTGTCGGAGTAAGGGAGATTTGCCTTTACAGTTAACACTGTTCAGGAATTTATGGTTTTTCAGGTTATTTATCATAATTAAACACTATATTAAGTATCATGTTCTTTTTTTTCTATTGCTTACCCAAGTGTGCTTGAGTCAAACCCGCGGTCCTGACTGGCGGACCGCGGCCGTGACTTGATGCGCAGTCCCTCGGCACTGTTCAATGAATTATTACTTGAGGAGCCGCTGAGCTCGCCTTGTAACATCTTCTGTTTGGCTGGCTCCAGAGCATTGAGAAGGGCATCAGCTTGGTCCTTAAAATGCTCGGCAAAGCCCCAGAAAGCCCTGGTCGGGAGAGAAATAAATTTCATAAAATTTTGATTCAAAAGATTATTTTGATGCAAATCATTTAAAAGGATCATATATATGTACTTATGAAAATATCATTGCTTTCATTCCTAACTTCCGACTGGGAGCTCCAAACTTCACAATTTAACAGTTTTGATAAAATAGCTATCGCAGATATTTTAATATTGTTCAATGATCAGGACAGTCCATTATCTTTATGTTTTCTTTATTCCATTAAAGACTGGATACACAAATTACAATAATGTCTTACAGGCTCCAGGATGTGACATGTGGCAGGAGATTTAATTAACCTCTACATTAATGTCAGGGTTTACTTTCCTGGAGTTTTAAAGTGATATCTGTAGGACCCCCAATCTACACTCTATACACGTTATATGTATGGACGGGGTGTACATACTTGCGGGCGAAGGCCCTGGCGTCACTGTCAGGATCACTGATTCCCCGTTTGATGGCGTCCTGTAGGTTGGCTATATGTTTCTCCAGGACGTGCGTTGGCCAGTTGTGGAGCACCTGGTTCACGAGCTCGCAGCAAAACCTACACGACACAATACATTGTTACCTTATAGCACATATTATACATCGTACATACATATGTTTACCTAACGACGAATAAATCACAGTACTTACACAATATCGTCCTCCATTCAAAGGGGAGATAATACAAACTTTTACATTAAAAGTAAATAATTATACAAATATTTTAAGAAAACATTGAAAACCTTTAATCATTGATAAGTTGTGCTCCCTGTCAAAAATTATGGTTAACATTTTGATGGGGAATATGAGAAATCTGACAGAAACAGAGTTTTATATGCGTGTACTTACCGCCTGATGATATTTGACTTTGAGGTGAGATTACCCGTGATGATAGGTATCAGTCTATAAGAATGTGTGTACTGAAATAAAAAGTTACGAGAATTAGGATTTGGGATTATTTAGCATGACTAATTAAATGGTATTGATGAAGTATATCATCACTATCTATTCCACTTGTTAAGCTCTCTATAAAGGTTTCTATCATTACTAGGTGATGATGGAATTGTAAGGTTAGCATGAAAAACATCAGACGATTTCCCATGTTTGACAGGTCAAGGGAGGTAATCTGTCCATATACCCTTGTAGCTGTTACGGCGACTATACCTGACTACAAGTTTATACCAAATTTGACAATGTGTCTGCATGACCATACCTCTAGCGACTTCACTAAAGTTACTCCCCTTTGAACCCGTGGCACTTGTGACACAGTTGTGTTGTATTTTTTTTTTATCAAGGATCAGAAACAGAGGTAAAGAGACCTGTAATTGTGCTGTAGTAGAAATTCCTTAGGTATATTTGATATTGTATAGTATATATAGTTGAAATTTTTAAAATTATTGAATATGTCTTTATGCTGGTGTTTTCCTTTCATTATAAACTGAAAACTGATTTGTGTTATCAAAAAGGTCAGACAATAGGCATAGACAGTATTAGTCTGCTCCTAAAGGGAAGTTCATTGTTTCCTTGGGAACAATTCTCCTAGTCTTGTCTGGAGAGGCCTTATAGCTCAGGGACACCATCCTCCGGCCTCCCAGGTAACACTATAAGGGAAACAGATTCCTCGGGAATGGACCATATAAGGATACTAGTTATTGGTACTGGTAGGTATACATACATAGGTGACTGCAACAGTGGTTTTATTTCTTTTAAAAGCCAGAGAGTGAAAAACTTGGATGGCCAAAAAATACTACATTTTTTGTACTACTGTTTAGATAAAGAACTGTTTTGCCCACTTACCTGTATGATAAAACGGATACAAATAATGCCGGAGGAGGCCATAACCTTGGCACTGTTAGGTATGAGGGCGATGAGATGGGGTAGCTGTGTCTCGCAAAAGTGATCCAATCTATTGCCTAACTGTTGAGACAGATACCTACAAAATAAATTGTATCTTAGTCAGTACTATACTTCTGGCAGTAAAACTTCTTTGATTTCCTTTTTTTTGAAAATGAGAATGAATTGGTAGTCGTAAAGTCTTAAAACAACACACAGGTCACTGTATCAATGTCATCATTGAATTTTCTGTCAAAACGATTTCTCGTATTTATATGTCATCATTGAAATTCTGTCAAACAAATATGTCTTATTCAAAAATGTACAAGCAATGCATGATGATATGAATATGAACTGAATAAATTGTAGATAATTTTCAATGTATGAATATGTAAATATAAAGACAATGAAAAAAAAAAAATGTTTAAATTTTATAATTAGACAAAACATGACATTTCGTTCTGTAGATTTATTAAATACACATTTACTGTCTTGTCTCAAGTTTCGGACAAGGACATGAAAGCGAGATGCTTCCTTGATTGTTGGTATTATGTGTTTGATTTTGTGGCCAGAAACCAGGAAGTTCAGAGACAGACTTACGCCATCGTGACACAAGCCTCGCGAACAATCTGGGAGCGGAGGTCTTTGATTGCCAAGGACATGCATGGTTCTAACGTCCTCAGCTGGGTTAAGAAGTCGTCGTGTTGTGCACCACCTGCGATCATTACTCCACGAAACGTCTTCATCTGTCACACACATAACAAACAGAAAACCTTTAATCTCGTAGTAGGTAAATTTAAAATAAATATACAACATTTGATATAGCACCCTATCTAGCTAGAATAAGCCACTCTAAAGTGTTGTACAGTACATAGATTAACATATACATTAAATAATACATTAATCAATACAATTTAGAGGAACTTGCAGGAGCTGCTTTATCAGGCGCTAACTACTAGTCCTATGCCACCTGGCTAATATCTCCCTATGTGTGTATTCCAGCCTGTGTTCTGGAGATGTACTGTGTTCTGTTTGAAGTGGGACAGTGCTTCCAACAGCATCTTTAAAGTGCAACCCCACTTGAATGCTACAGCACAGATAACGTAACACCCATCCCAGACCATTTTATACTCCACCTGAGTTGTCAGAGTTGTGTGGGCAGGAGAAAACAACTTCCTCTGAATATTCTGTGTTTATGACCACTTGGGGGGGGATTGAACCCTGGCCGCCTATGTGGAAGGCCAGATTGTTAATCAGTGGATAAAGTGCTTGCGAATTGACTGACCATATCAAGGCGTTTTTCCCAGGCTGTGTTCGGGTCGGAGAGCATGTCCCGGATTTTCGTTATGTGATCATTGAGATCCCTTGAGGAAAACAACTGGAAAACAAAAGAGTTGCGTTATTCATCAACAATGTAAAACACATATATACCATAAACGGTCTAGTTTGTTTTACAAAACATCAATGGTGAAACCGGTTTTTACTAACATCAAGTGGGTCTCAATCATTTGGTCAGACATGGCCGTGTGTCGACGGTTATATAAAGTTTGGGTAAAAGATTAAGAATCCAGTATTTCAGGTCATGTTATAGTTTGAGATATTACAAAATTTTCATTAAGGTAATAGGATTGTGTCACCATTTCTCGGTAGAATTTCTTCCAATTTTGTAGTTATATTGCGTTGAAGTAAAGAAAATTTTCTGCCACAAAAAAAATATAGGTTGTCAGAATTTAAAGGATTTGAAATGAAAATTTATGTAAAAAGGAGTGAGTTTTGAAAAAAAAAATGAAAGACACAATTTTAGGCAAAATAATGTCAATAAAAATGATACTGACATAGATTAGTATTGCATTAATGTATATCAATTTAATAAATGCTGAAATTGTGTAAAATTAATTAATTATAAACGTTTAAAAATTGACATTTTATAATAAAACCATGTACATATAGTAATTGCTTGTATAGAGTTATCTTTCTTGAAAAACTTCACAGTAGTGAAATAGGTAGCTGGGTTCCTGAAGTACAGAAAAATGGACACATGTGACTCATTGATAAAAAACAACTGAATTAATGCCTGGATTGCTTTGAAATACTTTAATATTGAGAGAACACACTGTTCTGTCAATAATAAACATGCAATATTTATCAGTTTAATATTAAACATCAGAATATGCGGAAATTGTGATATTGTCTCCCTACATTGGATTTTCAGCTAGGGATGCACTTCCTATTTCCGTTTATCAATACACTCCTATGACCTTAATAAAGGTTTCAGTCATGCCACTAATATGGGAGAATAATTTTGTTCTCCCATCCCTAAAAGCAAATTAACGAAGTGAAAAAGTATGCTTTCTATACCAGCCGCCCGCTTTAACATGATGTGGTCTGAATAAAGAAAGTGATGTCATATTTATTTTTATTTTTTTTTAGCTGACACACAGTGTGTTTAACTTGTCTACATCCTAAGATGTCTAAAGATCTCCCAAACCACATGAAAATCTGTCTGGGTTGACATAAAAGGAAATTCACTTCCAACAAATCAAAACAATTAAGAGGACAGTTGTTAACCGTGGCCAGTATTATTGTTCAGGTTTGAATTACCATATTTATACCAAACAAAAAGCCGATTGATTAATTTGTGTTTGTTATCTATTTTAAATGTATAAAATTCAATGTTAACCCTTTCACCCCTATGTAACTTAAAAAGACTCTACCATGCATTGATATGGATGAGTCTATTATGGTCTACAGTGGTGAAAGGGTTAAGTGTTATCTAACGAAGTACATCTCCCGCAATATCAGGACCTTGCAGTTATCATGACGACATATTTACCGTTGATGTGACGTCACATTTGTTGTTAACGGGACATTTTGTTAACCTTTTACGTCACCTTAATGAGGTACAGTGCATGTCGGCGGTATATATATCCCTAGAATTACACAAATTTTCCAGTGCCGTCAATTTCGTCTTTGCGTATTGCAGTTATCTTTTCTTGTGAGCAGGTATTGATTGTTACGTCATTGGTTTGTGTGAGAAAATTACGCCGTTTTCTCAAAAATGGATCAAGTTACTCTCACAAACAAATGACGTAACAATCAATACCTGCTCACAAGCGCAGATAGCTCTGCAATACGCAAAGACGGAATAGGCCAGATCACTTTGTCTAGAGGATCAGAAATAGGTGTCTATGTACGTATACACCTGTGATCGTGGCCTGTTCTCTATATACACACCTGTATTTTGGGTACATCTTCAAAGGACTTCATGAAGTAGTCCTCATCTACCCCGCCCGCTCCCGACGCCCCTGAAACACGAAAAGACAAAGCTATAAGATGGTGCCACCACACAACCATAAGATACAGCAAACTGTGATCTTTTCTCTCCAGCTGTAGTACATGTACTGAAAATCACAAGAGAATGTCTCTTTCAACAATAGTCTTTTTCTTTTTAATATCTGCTTTTAATTAATTAGTTTAAACCTAAAAGTTTGACACGAGCTTATGAGTGATGTGAAAGCTGTGATGTGCAAGAAAATTATACAAAATATTTGAACTTGTAGAACTCTACTGAAATATTTATCAATCAATGTGCACTTGTTACAATGGTTACCTGAAAATGTTACAAACATCTCTTCGAAAATATCAAAACTCCTGCCTTGATTTTTAAATTGACCTCAAATCTTGAAAAAGTTCTGTGACAAAGAATTTATGCTGTATTTTGTATAACTTGAGATGTTATATATTTGACATACAATATGATGTGGCTAAGTTGAGAAAGAAGGATGGACTTAGTACAAGTCACAATCAGAGTGATTCTAATAAATGAGGAATCTACATAGACAGAGATTACTATACATGTATACGGTATGGCATTCTCACAGAATTGACAAAAAGTGTAAAAACTGGACAGGAAAATATAAGTGAGGTTTCTACAAGAAAAAGAAGTTCATCCAACAAAACAAACTATGTACAAAAGATGAATGTAAGTACAACTATTGAAATATGATATAACTGGTACTTACCAAACCAATAGCGAATTGTGCTACTCAACGGCACAAAACGTCGAGACATGATCACTTGGGGATATAGTAATATTAAGATCTGGACACAACAGGTTCACAAATACAACCGTTAGTGGTCAATGAGACATTCTACACACAGTAGGTTAAAACAACTGACAGCTAGTGGTCAGTGAGACATCAGTTAATTAGAGATGACCACACTGTCCACGAAACACACAACACCATACTTTTGACGTAGTACACATCTCCAAATGTCTTCCAGGTGAAAACAGTGATGGATATTAGCCATTACAATTAGAAATCCACAACAATAAAAAAAATTAGCTACACTACGTTAAGATCCGGAGGATATTATAGGTAGAAAACATCAAAAGGATGAAATTAATTGCTAAAATAAAACTACTTCCATTTTCAAGAAAAAAAACTGATGGAGTAACAATGATTTAGTGGACCATAAGGATTAGTCCCTAAGGATACAACTTGGACTCTACCACACGGAATGTTACACATAAGACATCTTATGCTGGAGGGGTGAGAGTTGGACACAAGAAAGGGTCAACCCCTCAGGCGCAAATTAGACTTCACCACATCAAAGGCTGGACATGAACCATTCTACTTGTGAGGGGAGGTAGAGTGATGAGGGGAGGAAACAATGATGCTGTGTGTTGTTGCTACGTTGGTGTACAGGTAGAAGTGTTACAGGTGAGTAAGGTAAGGGGCGAGGGAGACTGTGTCGTCTGTTGGAGGTGACACATCCCCTAATCAGCAAATCTACATCACCACTAATCACTGTACATGTAGGCTATACCCTGCACTAACAGTAGCACCACTGTATACACACACTAAATAATACCATGGTAAAATACATTTTTACAAGAACAAATTTGCCTTTTTGTAAAAAAAAAAAACCAGCAAAACATTTCATGTTATTTGGCATTATATACAGACCATTTTACTAGAATTTTCTTCAAGTTTTCTTTGAAATGTTTTTTTTATCTAACAATCACAATCCAAGTCCTTTTTAAAAACATATTAGTAAGCAGAAATGATTATGATTATTATCATTTTTTCCTCATGGAACTCAACCCTGAATATTCTAAAACCTGTGTAATCCAGACAATGGTTCTGATGTCAATAATGCTATGTTCAACCTGTGTACACCGAACAGAAGGCATTCGGTTTGGACAGGTTCCACCAAAGTGTTATCAGTTATTAACTTATAACATACTTGTAGAAGTATTCGAAATTTCAAATGGTCTTTTGATTTTTGAAATCGAAAAAAAAAAAAACAGAATAATGAAGTAAAATACATATACATAATCAACATGCAGGAACAGAGCAAATCATAGGGAGTGATTTTTTGCTGAAGATTTCCAATTAACTGTGCAACAAAACGTACTACACTTGCTATCGGACGTTAGACACAAGACTGGGAAGTAAAGCGATTTGTTACCTGTGCTAGAAATGGATCGGCGGCGTCGCAGCGTCACAGCTGTCAGAGTTAGTAAGAGAAAGACAAGAGGAGGTTATTGTCCGGACATAGAACTGATGACCTTTAACCTCGCATCCAGAGACCCCCCAAAAAAGGGTAACCATGGAAACAAAACGATTTCCATAGTAATGATATCGCGAAAAAAATGGAGACATTTTGTAAACTTCTATTTTCATATGTCTCCTATGCTGAATCGAAAGGAAATGGTTTCTTTAGCAATTACAAACTTGTTAAGTTATTTCTAAATTAAATGAGTAATATATAAGAATAAATGAAATTGTAATATCGTGATGTAATTAACTACGTAAAGTGAACTGTTAAAGAGGAATACTGATGCGCTGTAGCAATAAGGTGAAAATGATTTACATTAGCTAATTATAAATTAATTAAGTGAATATTAAATAAGAATCTGTAAGTTTGTTAAAAACAAAATCTCCTTCCACCAGTGAATAGTGACAGGTATATCTGTGAGGACGTGAAAATAGTGACGCGACTGGTAATCTATCATATCCTTATTTCGTAAACCGTATAATATAATGAGGTTGAATTCACTGGAAAATTGACTTGAGCAAGTCTAATCTGTGCTGATTATACACAGTGAAGCCTTGATAAGCCAGACAACTTTGAACCCAGAAAAAGTGGCTTATTAGAGAGGCGAATGGATTTACAAGGGCAGTTTTATATAGAAAATGGACAACTGTTCCTTAAAACATGGACTGGATATGTAGATAGACAACATGATTAGTGGTGGCTGGATCAACAAGGCTCGACTGTCTATCTCCTAAAATCCTAATATATGATTAACTTGGCCGACTGTTACAGATCTTTCCCAATTTCAGGACTTCATTGAGCATTATTTGCTCCAACATTTTCATTTCACAATATTTTCCAATTGTGGAAAAAAAAATTCGGAAAGATTTTTTTTTTTATTGTATTACGAAAACAGCTGCACATATCACTGAGTTACATTTGTGAGGAATGGATTTCTCATATTATTATTGAATTGCCTGACAATCAAATTTCAATGAGATGATTTACAGATATTTGATAAACAGTGTTGGCATCCCCATACCCCCCTTCCCTCCCTCCTGACTCGGTAAAGGGTTCGTACCTGAGGCGCTGGGCGTCTTTCTCCCTGAGGCCAGGCCACTGCTACTTGTCTTCTTGGCCTGCGGGACTTTGGTGGATAGAGGCCGTGCAAATTCATTGTCATCACAATCGGATGGCCCTCTGCTTGGAGCTATAAGAATCAAAAGGTTTTAGAAGTTGAGCCATTGAAGAAATCATACTGAAATTTTCATTTTCAGATGAAGCACTATTCATTTGTATAAGTCAATGGTTATAATGTGTACATCTTTCAATGTCTTCGTACAGAAAAACAAAACTTCCTAATTCAGTTTATGGACAGTATTCTACTCATGCCGTTTCTTCTGACTGACCATTAACATTTCTTTTGGCATCACTTATAATGAAATTCCTTGTAATATCACTAATCACTACACAAAATTCATTGTAACATCACTTGTCACTGGTCCAATGTTAGACCAATGAAATTCCTTGTTACATCACTAATCAATAGACCAATGAAATTCATTGCAACAACACTTACCACTGCTCCAATGGAGTTCATTCTTATATCACTAATCGCTAGACCAATGAAATTCATTGTTACCTCACTAATCACTAGATTAATGAAAATTCATTGTAACATCACTTATCACTGGTCCAATGGAACGATATTTTCCTCATTACTAGAATTGAAAGTAAAGCACACATTACCTAGAATTTAAAACGCTCACCATTAGATATACGCAATAAGCAGCAACTTATTGGATAAAGTTTGGGAAGTTAAAAAAATTTGGCAATAGGATCTGATTGGTTGGTAGTACAGGGTTTAACGTCCTATCAACAGCTAAGGTCGTTTAAGAATGTGCAACAGGGATGGAAACAATTTCATCTTTTTTCATTTTTGAATGTTACTGAGCTACTGAGGCTATGATGTAAGAACTGTACTGCAATGTGTGCTACTAGAATGGTCTCCCCTTACCTCTGGGTATGGTGGAGGAGCTAGTGCTGCGCTTGGTCTGGCCGCTGCTGCGGTAGGAGGACGGTCGGCCGAAGTCGAGCTCATCGTCAGTGGTGCTTCCCCGGCTTGGTGCTGCAAAGACAAAATAGGGGGTTCAGTTTTTATCCTGTGTTACCAAAAGTTAGAGATTCTTCAACACTGTGCCGTCTGCTCAGTCCTAATTAGAAACAGCCCAGGCAGGGCCATCATCCCTGAGGAGTCTCACAGACAGCAAAGCTTCTCCAGAATACTAAAACCACATACTTATGTACACAAAAATATACAGAGGACTAACTTGCATTATGCAAATGTGTCAAACCATTAGGTCTTATGTTATCTTTAGATCCCTGTAATAAAAATTTATCCAAGGAGATCTTGTTATCGTTCCTCTGTCAAACAGATGTACTGCACATCAATTCTACGCCAGGTTTTTTCAATTACATGTTTGACAAAACACATAAATATACATCCGAAACACCAACTCGGTGCGAGACCACCAATTTCAGGGTTATCTCGCACTATAGTTCACACTGTGGCCTCGGCAATTCCATGCACGCTGTGACTAATTATATGAAATTAATCGCCCAGTTCTGATAGACATTTATAAGTGATAAATACATACGTCACATCACTTAGTTGCCTCAAAATAGTATGCCTCTTTGTTGGAATAGGAGGGAGGGGAGACGAGGAAATTGTTCACACCTGGGTTCTATCAAATATGTTTTTCTTCACTTCTATGCCAATTCAAGCTAGCAATATTTACACACTGTATCTAAAGGTAACTGATGATCCGACGTACAGATCATGACAGAGCAATGCAAGTCATATGTTCTTTAACTGTTCGGCTCCTCCAGACCAAACTTTGTATATTGTCTATAATATATGAAACATTTTAATTCATTAGCCATGAATTGGCTGATGTTAAAATTCCTCAAAATCTTTAACTGCTGTTAATTATTTTCATCTGAACGTATCATGCAGTCTGCACAACTCTACAGTAACACACATTTACCACACATGATGCATAAATGGAATGTGCATCAGTGTAAATTAAAAAGTCAGAAACAGTAACACATATATATATGTATACACGCACACACATTCTGTAGTAATGTAGTAGAGTAGCTATTTCTAAAGGCTGCTAAGTAAGTTCTGCTGTCGACACACAGCTTTACTCTAATTGTACACATTGGGCAGAGATACAGTTTCAGGTCTTAACACATCCATAGAAATTAATAAACCAGACTAACGATCCTCAGTGTTATATCAAGGTATGGAGTTCCCTTACAGAGAGCCTTGAAGATTAATTAAATTGTTGTAAAATTTGAGCGTTTCTGACGAATCGTTCTAGAAATCTAGCGAGGATACGTGTCTATGGCATCTTCTTTGTAAAACATCTCTGTGCTTATCGCTCGTATCGGAACAATCTCGGAAAGTAAAAAGTCACTACAAATGTATCTATGATGATGTATGCAGTAGATTCTTATCGGCATGGGAACCATATACACTTATATTACTATTAACAAGCCCCAGCAGTAGGCCATACATAGTGTATGTATGCGACTATAGTATTACAGCGTGCACCAATTAAGTAAACAGTTCGGTGAATTATGAAAGGAAATATAATGTAATGAGAACGAAAAAGGAAAATGTAATAAAATGTGCAAGTCATGCACACAGGTATTTGATAGTATGTCAGGTGCACACCACGGCTGCCCATTTATCTGTTTCTAAATGTATAGATAGGTACCAACATCAACCTAATAATCATAACGGTTATATAGGTAGGTACAGACATACCGTATTTATCCTGAAATAAGCCCAGGGGGCCAACATATTATCTCCGACTCTAAAAATTAGGGTGTTGGCACATTAGAAGCCAAAGAAATAGCATTTCTTGGCATTATTTCCACTGAATCGCAATACATTTGGGTGGGCTTATTACCAGGCATGAGCTTATTGCTGGATGAATGCATTAACTGTAATATTATTGTGTAGGTAGTTACCGACTTCACCCTAATATACACCTCAAAGGTATAGGTGATACCGACTTTAATCTTTTAAACACAACTCTGCTTCTATAATCATTTTATAAACATCTGTAATGCCTGCCTCGAAAAAGAATGAAAACAAATGTTCTGTTTGAAATGTCGAGTATCGTAGACAGGGTAATTAACAATGTAAGCCTGACAGATAATCGAGGTGACAAGATTTCGCTGAAAATACACTACTGATGAAGCTATACACCTGATAACAGCAACATTATGCTTCCCTGATGAAACGGGAAATGAAATCCTGACTCACATATAATGTTGTACCAGGTCCAATGTTTTGCTGGTATGGGTTGGTAATTTTACGGTGTTTTGGACGAAACGTCGGTTTAATAGGTCTTTATGCATACCGACATGCCAAAATTAACTTTATTTCAAAACCTGGATCTGGTCCCAAAATAACAGACAGACAAAAAGTTCAGTGTCTAAACACAAAGCTTGATATCCCCCTTACAATAATGTCTCTGTGATCATGACATTAATCAAAATTATGAAAGTGGAAAATTTGGGGGGTTTTCTGTAGAAATCGACAAAATGTTTTGACAGCTACACGACCGATGAATGGTGCACTCTAAAAACCTTTCACCTGATGTGGTGGTGATAAAACGTAAAATCTGATGCATTTTACGAAATACTGGTTCTAGTTACAGTGCGGAGAATAAACGGGCTGTCCTCCGTCCATTTAGAATGTCACAATGCACGAAACTTGCCAGGTTTTTGACATAAAACGTGTTTTACATGCAAATATGATTGTTCACCGGAACGCTAGACACTAAGCAATATCAACACGATAAAAAAGTTCAGAACAAAGTATAGCCGGGCATTGAAAACGCTGTACTCAATTTTTGTCCATTAGACAGAAGTTATTAGATAATTTGTAGCTATCCGACACTTATGAATAGATAAGTTACAGGTTTAGCCGTTAAAAAAGTTAAAATACTCAATAAATTTTACTTATTATGACAAAGCTGTTATAGAATTTCTGGTCATCCGACACTGCGAAAAGTTCTGACACAAGTGTGGGTGTTGACAACATACACACAGTATTACACAGCACAACGTATAACAAAATTATCATATATATAGTAACGAGTTATTGGACACGGAAAAGAACTGAGTTACAGCTTTAGGAGTTGACAAGCTCTGCTCATAAAACTTCACTTATTTGATATACATACCACAGACAATCTTGGTTTATCTAAAATATTCAAACAACTTAACTCATTCACCCCTGAAATTCCATAATGAACTGTTCCAACCTTTGAATTGGATGGGTTCAAATGTGTCTCCAGGGGTGAATGAATTACCTGAGTCAAGTTTTTCACCAGCACACACTCTTAGTGTTTTGCCTCCGACACTAGTCTACAGTGTGTAGTAAGTACGTGTGCACTCTCACCATTACACCTGTGGGGGGGACTGACTTAATTACTACAATCTATCAATAGTATTGGTGACTAATACTGTTTTTGTTGCCCTTCCTCACTCCCTATAGTATCAATTCTCCTCCTCCCCCTCCTCCTCCTGCTGTTGTACCTCCTCCTCCATACCTCCCCTCTCCTCCCCCTCTTACGGTGACTAAGTCCAGAGATGATTGATCAGTTACCACCCTGGAGTCAGGGAAGAAATAACCACAGGAAATGATGACATATTGTTATACCAGCTATTAATTTTCAGATGACCTCGGCTTGGATAGGGCTGGTGTATTGCTGAGGAGGATGGGAAGTTGTGGTGGATGAGGAGGGGGAAGAAAACACATGATTTCAATATCAGACTGGTGCAGATGGTCGCCTATAATTTGTTAACACTTTCCATGGCTCTCTAAGTACATATATTTAGATATGAAATTGCAGGCGCAGCCAGGAAATAGTTTGTATCTACTCACGTGAATCACAAACAAAAGAAACTGTTTAATAATTTGATCATGCATTTTCACATCAACACATCTTTCCAAGACTATGTGACAGTACTGAAAGACATACTCACAATACTATTCTGACTTTAGAACAAGATATCTGCAACAGACTTTCTGGCTTTGCAACAAAATCAAGACAAAGGGTATTTACTACTATCTGACTGTACATGATAACTTTACAAGATTATCTTTACAGTTCAATTAAACATCTTAAACTTCTTGGTAAAACTTAGTGATACCATTTTCCCAAAATTTTGGAATTACACCATATATTTTCAAACCAGGTACATTTAAACAAGGATGAAATAGGAAAGCTGTCAAGACATCTTTATATAAGACTACCGGACAGTTCAACAAGACATCTTTATATAAGACTATCCGACAGTTCAACAAGACATCTTTTTATAAGACTACCGGACAGTTCAACAAGACATCTTTATATAAGACTACCGGACAGTTCAACAAGACATCTTTATATAAGACTATC